GACCTCCATCCTTAAAAGCCGATGGGGACAGCCCGTCGGGGCCGAAAGCCTTATACCTGTAGAGATAGCTTATTTCTCAGGTAACCACCAGTTCAAAGGGACGACTAGTGTGAACTGTCAGTTTTTGCCCAGGGAAAGTTGATGGTGAAAGGTCAGATGTTGATGGGGTCTAATTGAACTGATCTTCGAAATGTTCAGCCCATCGATCAAGACTTCGCTGCTGATCGGGGATCAGTGTGACTTCAGATTCCCTAATAACTCCGCTTTCGCTCTCCTGGGACACGTATTCCTAATGAGATGGAGAAAATTGCGATTATTGCCGATAGCCGCAGTCTTCTCCATCTATCTATACTTTCCTGCCCACCACTTCTCTCGGTCACTCCTCAGACTCTTGATGAGCTGGCGTTTGAGGGATTTGCGTGCTATGCCATATGTGCATCAGAAGAGAACGTTCTGCGGTCGTCCAGCAGGGCAGCCGAAGTGGGCGAAATCCCTCGTTTGTGTTTGGAACCTGCGCCAGTGTCCGACGTTGTTTTTATTCATATTTGCATAGCTTCCTTGAATTTCCTCGAATATTCATTGAGTTCTTCGACTGGTGGTTGAACTGACAAGCGATCGGAGAGCTCCGCTTCGAAGGCCGACTTGCAGCCATCGCTGACGCTATATCGTGGGTATCCGTTTTCGGTGGTTTTTTTGCGTTTGTTTGCCAGGCGTAAAGAGAATTTGGCTCGTGAATAGGCGTGGTCTGTATCCACAGAGTTTTCGAGCAGTAAGAGTGATAGTCTTGAATTGATCTCCTCCAGCGGTAACCGATGGCGATGTGGTCGATCTGGGTCCAGCGCAGCGTAGAGGTTGGCGGTTTCCATGTAAGTCGATGGCGTTTCTTGTGCGAGAGGTGTTTGATAGAAACAATCCGTGGTCCGCGCAGAGTTGAAGTAGGTGATCTCCATTGTCCGGTCGGTTGACTGGGATTGCATGTGGTCCACCAAGAAGCGTTTCTGATTCGTCCAGGTATCCCACTTGAGCATTGAAGTCTCCGGTGACTACTGCGACGTCCGTTGATCGAATACTTTGGAGTAATTGAGAAAGACGCTTGTAGAATTCATCCTTGATTTCAGGTCTACCGCAATCGGTCGATGAATGCACCGATACGACAGAAAAGCATCGACGCTTCATTTTGTTGCTGTTGACCAGTGCTGAGCCGTTGAGACGTACAGTCGGCTATTGACTAGAATCCAGTCAAGAAGCGAGGGCTCCGCCTTGGCACTTGGCGCAATCCCAACATCAGCGACACCGCAAGCTTCGGATGCCGAATCGCCTGACTTGCGATGGGTGAGGCGTGAGGTTGAGGTTGGATCTAGAGAGCGCTAGGAAGTGATTGAAGTAAGGTCTTGTATGCGTGTT